AGAAAATTCACAAAACACTAAATCCTCAAGGTGCAATTAAAGGAATTACCTGAACAGACAAATAATTCATGCCAATGCAGTACTCTGTAAAACATATCCATCAGTTGAAGTGACCATGTCTTTTATTGAATGTCATATCTTTTGCATTTTTCTAAAATAATTAGTCTTTAACAGCAAAACAAAAACATTTGAATATTAAACCCTAGCCCAACCGATTTGAGGATTATGTTTATACAGTTGTAGAAACAAGTGAGTCTTTATAATTACACTTCTAGTTCCATACTTCAAGTGCAAGGCCCTAATCTAACCTTGAGGATGAAGGATCAGCCAACAGGTCGGTGGACTGCTAAAATATTTGCTCAACACCAGGTAAATAATAGCACACACACAAGGTTATTGTGTGTCTTACGGTCTGCAAAAGACTGAAACGATTTAAGAGGGCTACCACATTCCATGTTAAATATGAAAATCTATATTATATCTGCAAACACTGGAAAGCATTTTACTATTTAGAGTGAACAAACGGTCAAACTTGTGTATAGATGTAATTTCTGGAAACTAGCGACTAATTTTGAACAAAAAGCGATTTATTTAGGCAAAAGGTGCTTGTTACACTGAGTTTAGGCATCAGGGTTAAAGCAACAACATAAATAACTGAATATAAAGATGGAGCTGCAAAGAGACTCTTCACAACTAAAAAGTCAGTAATAAAATAAAGTACATAAAGAAATTTGTCTTCTTATGTCACTGATAAATGAGTCAAAATGTCAGCAGCAAGTAATGAGCTGAACTCCAGAATTTAACACATTGATTTCAATTTCAGTATTATTATATTTAGACACTCTGATTCTGTTTTTGTTCATGTAGAAATCAGAAAAGACAGGACAGTACCTTACTGTTGAAGCACGTTTCCAGGCATTTGGCTCAGATGTGTGTTTTGCCCACTTATTTGATTACTTATCAAGCTACTCTAAAGCCCCTTTACACTTTATGGGTGGAGCTTATTAACTGAAAAGCTTGAAAAACTTCAACATATGTGCCTTGCATGGATAGCACAATCACTTAAATTGTTTGTTATCGTTATCTGTGTAGTATATAGCAAGGAGACAACATGAAATAATAAACAATTAATGCAACTTTAATGGGTTCAGTTTCCATGTACATGTGGCATCCTCACATTCATTCTCTCATCAACAATACATTTTAACATATCTTTTGGTAAACGGTAGACATAAGGAACAGCTGGAACTAAGCCACTTACAAAGCCTTATTTAACTTGACTTACACAAATTATACTAACTATAAAATTAATATCTATAAATAGTGTATTTCAACATTAAAAAGGGTGAGACAGAGATGACAATGTGTAATACATAATTTTTTCCACCACTGTAATCAGGATTTGCGTGTAAAACAATGGCGTCAATATCAAAGACTAAAGTGCAATAATGAATCAAACCCATTTTGTTTTCTATGAAGAGGAATGTCACAATTTTCAAATGGACTATTGACAGAAAAAAGCAAGTCGCCCCCTGGTGGAACAAAATATGAAGAGCAGAAATCCCTTCAGTTCTTATGAAAAGAAAAGCAAATTTTAAAGGAAGAAATTTCTTTCTTAAAATGCTTCACTGACAAATGAAGGGAGCAAAGAGACTGACTTTGCAGACACTACGACAGTAGCTGCAATACATGGACAGTTCAATCTGATCATCTCAGAAATCATTCTGATTAGAGACTGCAACTTATCTGTTGATGATTCAATAAAATGTGCCTTTAGAGTCACCAAAGCATTTATACAGAATCTAAATTGGATCCGCCCACTGTGAAGCTTCTAATCTGCAGGAAAAATAACAGCAGAGGAAGAAGTGGTACCGCCTGTTAATACAATTTACAAGATATACCCACATCGTGTCCTTGGAACAATATATGAGGAAACTCATTCACATTACCTAATGTTACCCCAATGTGGGGCAAACATGCTCAGAAAGAATATATTTATTCCAACCAGAGAGAAGCAATCAAAGTAAGCACTTACATGGTTATTAGGTGCAACTATTTTCTTATTGAACGGATTATTAAAGGATTACTCCAACTCCTCTCAACCCAGTTAGGGATTCCTTCCAATCGTCTGGATTGGGCCAGTCTCTTACAACTGAGGTGGTTACATGAGGCATTGTTATTGTGATTGGGCAATTATTCAGATCATTAGTGGAATATGACGGTTCATGTAAATGCAGCTAGTCACTGTCTAGAGACATGAGTATGCTGTGGTTCAAAACTGCAACTATGAAAAAGCTCATTTGGGTAAAAACATTCAAATACTCCAACAAACACAGTCACCGTAGCATTAGCAGGCTTCAGGTAAGAGGTTTTAGTTTTGGTTCTGAGGATTTCAGCTTTGAGAGTATTTTCACTTTCATTTTATCTCTGTATTAAAAGCCTGTTACGGTGGGGATTTCCTTGTATCGTTAAGTTGTTTTAAGATTAAACAATCCCAAGATAAAATCTCCCCACCCCCGCACCCCCGTTTCATCATATAGCCTCAGAGAATTCATTCAAAAGCACTTCCAGTCTTCGGATGTTTAGACTTATGACTACTTACAGGAATATAATATGTGGGTCATTAAAAGTAGGGGAACAGGTTACAAGAAAAATACAGAGCCTGTTCAGCAAGTGCAACTCCATGTGGTAAAAGTCAGATGACTTGTTAATCTAGCCATGTTTGCTTTTCCGCCTCATTGTTACAAAAGCTCTTTGACCAGCTCCGGCTGGCAGCCTAAAACCCCTCACAGTCCATCGCAGTCTATAAAATCAGTAGTGACTAGAAATCGCTGAGGATGCTTATGTCTGCAAACTCCTGGCGATATCTGTATGAGTATAAGGCCAAGAGGAAGGACCATTTGAGAGTCAGGAAGCTCCACACACAGGAGAGATACAGGCTCCTCGGGTCAGTAGGAGCTGTGGGACAGAAAAAGCAAGGTGATGAATACATGCATTAGGAAATCAATCATCTTGCGTCAAAAATAATGAGTTAACAATAAATGTTTCCTTCCAATTCTGTATTATACAGTATATAACTCATTATAAAACAAGGAACACTAGAGAGAATTACATTGCTTCTGTGTAATGGCGAGAGTAAGGAAGGTGATGAAGGCTGCCAGTGCCAGAGCTGAGAAGAGCAGACCAACAGTGATGAAGAACTTGAGGCCTTTGAGCCAGGTGCGCCAGTAGTCCTGCAGGTACATGATATGTGTGACGAGAGCCCAGAGCGCCAAAACTCCTGTCGAAAGATAGAAACACACACTTTCATTGTATGTATTTTATAACAAGGTCTACACAGTGAGGAGACTATATCCAAAGCATAATTTTAAATAATCCACCATATACTGTTGAGGCTGAAGGCATAATTTCATTCCAATTAATCTGATAATTATTTTCTCAATGTATCATTTAGTTTATAAAATATATTAAAAATCTATCCTAATGGCAAGGTCTACAAAAGCTAAGAAGACCAAAAAGACAAAGAAAAACAAAAAATTGGCTAAATTGAGTCGCTGGAAGTAGAGTGTTGAAAATGACAATCATTAACTGATTACAAAAATAGTTACAGATTATCATCATCTAATAGTTTCAGCTCTAACTGTACATATTACAATTAGAACAATATATCAGTCAAGCCGATAGATATTGATATTACCTTACCTGTAAAATGTCCCGCTCAGTATGTTTCTTGGTTTCAATTTTAAGAATCTAAAAGGATCTGTATCAAGATTGTTGTTTAATTTCTGTGTTTATTTTTTTTATTACTATCAGCCGATATATAGTAATCAGATTTTTTAAACTCCCAAATGTCATTATCAGACTCAAACCTACATTATCGGACGGGCTATAACACATAATGGACTTTCACATGCTTGAATATGTGGCAGTCACTAAAACTGGCATTCTGTATGCCTACAAGTGATGCTGATGAAGGTGATAAGCAGCAAATCTGATCATATGCACAAGTGTGACCTATGAAAGAATACTGAGCCAGCTATAATTCAAACAAATACTGATAGCAACTAATATTGTTAAGATTTCAGTGCCTAGAGTGAGACTATATTAAGAAAAAACACATTTATATGAAATGATTATGGTGTGGTGTTGGCTGTGCAGGCCAAACACCACACAAAAGGATTAGGCAACGCTCCAATATCACGTTAAGATGACAAATCTGCATGTCACAGCAACATTTTATATTACTGCTGTTAGGTGTTTAACATACCTGACAGGCCTCCCATGGCCGCCGTCCATGGCTGCTTGTATGCAATATTCCAGACTAAGAAAGCCGAAAGTCCAACCAGAGTGCCAAAGGTAGCATAACCTATGCTAATGTAAACTCTGTTGATTCCCATTGTAAAATCCAACTACTTCTATAAGTGTTTGTAACAGGCGTACGTTTTGTTAAGAGATAAAGGCTTTTTTTTTTTTAAACAGACTGGTATTAAGCAACATCAACAGCTTACCGCCACATTATGTAACTAGCTAAAAATCCTTGATACTAACGACCGGAAAACGACAAGATGAAATTCCCTCCGACTGGCCGACCAGAGACAACGACGCCTATAAGTGAACTAGCTTTATAAGTTGCTAAATAATAGCCGGTTCGTGAGCCTTGTACAACACACAACCTGCGATGACACTATTTATATTTCTAGCTAACAAGCAAGCAGCAACAAAACACAAGTGCTTATCGGATGTACACCGCAAAGATGACATGCTGTGCTCCAGAAAACACTACCGTCTTCAGCCGGTGCCGCAACATGTCGGTGAGGAGTACATTTCGTCTTCTTTATTGGTGTGTAAGTGTACTTCCCTCTTATACTACACTCGAAATACAATAGATTATTAGTTGGTGCTGTTCTGTGTAAAAAAAAAAACAAACCGAATCTCTCGGGTGTGTTGTCAACAATTTGCCCTAAAGTCATCTATCACTTGTACATATAATATCTTTGCAGAGAGGAAACCCCCTGCTCGCCAACATACCGCCCCTAGTGGAGCAACGAGGAACAGCCATTATAGAGCACTGATGTTGTGATAACGTGATGACTGGTTTTTAAGATGTAGGCCTACATTAGGTAAGATTATATGGTCACATTAAGGTCACTGACCGCTCTGTGTGTCAAAGGCATATGTTGTTTAATTTAGCTTGATACATTAAAATATATAAACAACTGTGCATAAGTTCATATGGTCATAAAAAGTGTTGTGTTAAAACAACCTGTCAGCTAGAAAGCAACACAGATTTAACAAATATTTAACAAGATGCACAAATTGTATTTACAAAGGAGATATTCATAGAAAACGAAAAATGAAAAGGAAGTTATTTTCTCTGCATGAAACATATTACTTATTCTGAGCCATGTTAACTGGTTTGACTATATATCAAATACACATGATATAGAAATGTGCTTCAAAGCTTTCCTGTGGTTGTTAGCTATGCTGCAGCAAAGGTTGAAAACCACACCATTTACTTTGTTGCTGTGAAGTGAAAGCAAATTAAATCAAACACTGTGCAGTTGCTTCTATTGTGATCCTGTCTTCACACACACAAACACACACATTGCTGTGTCTCACTGCTGTAACCTATTCGACCCATGCCCCTGGGCACTCTCTTCGTGACCAATCAGAGAGATACAGGAAGCTGTGTTCAGCAGCACTCCCCACAACAACTCACACAAACTGCTATGACTGAGAAATCATCCTCGAACATATGAAAGGAGCAAAGGCTGAAAAAGGAAAGCGAAGAACCAAAAGATCGTGAAAGCCAATTTTATAAGAGCTGCATGCCAGTGGTGAGTTACTGATCACTTGTCAAAATAATGTAACAAACTTTTTGGTTTATGATATTGTTGTATAATTATTTTATTTCTTCTGATGGAAAATGGACTTTATTCTTTATATGGTATGCCATTAAAATATAAGATATTCTGACCTATCACTGACCTACGACCTGATCATTATATGTCTGACAAGATTTTATGAGCTGTTTTTTCAAATTTATACTCCAAATGATATGTTGAAGTTATTTGTTGGTTGTTAGTGTAACTGAATTAATTTGGTAAGTACCACCATGTGGCTGCGCAGCATGAGGTAGAGGTGTTAGAACGATGCTGACAAACTGGAGGTTTTGTAAGGTTTAGAATTATCACCATCTGTGTTACATGCTTTCACTCATATCTGCTTCATTTCAAGCAAATCAGATATGTCTTTCCCTGTCACTGTTAACTGGCCAGGGGAGAGGAAGGAAAAGGTGTGTGTGTGTGTGTGTGTGTGTGTGTGTGTGTGTGTGCACCACCAGACAGGCACAACGATGTCAGTTGGCAAAGTAGACATTCCATGGGCGTAGATGTGTTGCAGGAAATCCCACTCCCATTCCCGGAGGATCTAAATAGAATCACACGCACACACAAAAATAAATATAGAAAGAGAAAGAGAGAGAAAGACACAAACACAACACACAAAAAACATAACTACAAATATTTATAATAATAATTAATATATGAGTGCATACAAATCCATCACTAAAATAGATTAAAATTTGTATCTTTTTTGACACTTATATAGAATCTTTTATTTAGTATATCTTATGAAAAAGGGACTCAGTCAATAAATTATCAATATATACAAGGTACAAGGTTGATTTATTTGTCACAATACAACAGGTTGTAGAGTGAATTTTGAGTTTATAACTCCCTTCTGCTATGTAGCAAACAAAATACAAATAAAAACTATAAAATTATAAACAGAAATAAACAATATTTGCAGTGCTGAGGATATCTAATCTAAATATTGTGTACATTTTTATTATTTATGTTTAAATCTGACACACATGGATTTCCTCTCCACTGCATATTGCAGGGTATCTGTGTTCTCAATAGAGGGCAGCATTTATTGTAAAAATGCCAGACTGGCATTTGCAGTGAAGCTATGCAATGCAAACTCTTGAAGTGACCTGGTCACTGAAAAGTCTAGATTTAATCTCACCTGTAAAATGGAGCTTTTTGATGGTCACAGCTGTACAATATGCTCTGAATCTAAAACTAAAAAGTGCAGCAATGCAGCAGTGTTAATGAACTTTCATTTCAATCCCAGGACCACAAAACAATTACCATCCTTGATTTTACTATTCAGAAAGCAATCCTTAGATTATTATCCGTGTTATCCTTATTCGTTGATTTCAGATACAGTAGATCTGGAAAGCATTTAGCTCCTTTGGTATGGCTGAAGCATTTTATATTTGGTACAAAAGTACCATAAATCCCTTAAAACAGTCACCTTTGTGCCGCTGTGTGCATCACTGAAACAATCAAGACAGTCACTTCATCAGATACTATCAAACAGTCTGTAGCAATGTGCTCTTTCTTATCAGCAAAATCATGTTTACATTCCCTCGGGAGGTCACAAGAAGCAAACTGGATTCCTTCATTGTGAACATCATCATGAGTCCCTGTGAGGCATTTGGAAGCGATAGAGAGTCACACAAGTTTAGCCAGAGCACAGAAAAGTTATCAGCCGCACTTAAAACAGTATTTTCTGTTTGGTTTGATCTCTTGCTTACTTTTGGGACAACTGTGACTGGAGGATCCTCATGACTCTACGGAGGTTTTAACTTGGTAAGATGTTCCTGGGGTTTTTTCTGAGAGATTGTAGCAGATATACATCAATTAGTTGCTTCAAAGCACAGGGAGTGCAGTGTGCCTATCTGTTGTGATTCAAAGCAAATTGGACTCTGTAGGCTTGGAGATCCATCATTCACTCACCACACCCACTTATAGATTAAGAAGCAGTAATGTCTAAAACAGAGGTAACATACAGGAGCAGGTGCTCAACTTTTAATAATATTGCACAGAAGAGGTAGTTCAAAAACATCTTTCCAGCTGGAGGAAAGACCAAACCAAAGCATGGGAAGCAGGACAGAGTGGATGTTCTTGTCTGTGTGTGTCTTGTGGAAAGCCATGGTAAAATGACTCAGGCATTGAGGTCAGTACAGGAAGGGCAGCCCTGCACTGGAACAATAGCTGGGATTTAAACAAATCTTACGTAACAGCCAGCCTGCAGGACACAGACCATGATCCAGTTATAACTGGAGGTGCACGGGAAGTCAAGTTAGATAGAGGGCCCCCTTGTCATTGTTTGGCAGTCCACAGATTTACATTTCTTTACTTGCTTTGACTAATTACTGAGAAATACACGTCACAATGCATTCCTGTGTTCATTTATTGCCTCTTAAAGTAACAACAAACCTGTTTCTCAGTTTTTCAGACAGATACTGTTCAAGCCATCCTCTCTATGGAGAAATCCATCTGTTCCCCACCAAGACGTTGTACACCAGACATGGGGGAAGTAAGTCATCTGCCTCTATACTTCAACACAAACAAACTCAATGAAATAACAGTGAACCACAGACATCATGTCTGAACCAGAGAAAGACGAGGCTATAGAGAGTTAGCAAGAGGCATTCACAGCTGAACATTACACCTGATGGTACAATATACAGCTTTATGAGTTTTATGAATCCATAAACCAGTGAGCAGTATTTCTAAGTTAATGCTTCTGAAAAGGACAAACACCTGTCATCCAACTGGGAACTAGAACTGAACAGCTACTGATGAGAGACATCAATTGCAGGTCTCCACCATCAACAGCTTTCTGCCCTTGAAAATGTTTATCTGCAAGTCCATGTGCCTACAGACCCGGTCGAGCCAGACAGCTGGACAACCTGATAAGTGTGTATGCAGAGGTCTGCAGATCATGTGGGCTGCCACCTCTGAGCTACTGTACTGAACAAACTAGACAATATAGTGCCTGCATGGAACATTATGCCTTCTTCAATAACCTTGACCCAATCTGGTGTATTTACAGTGTTAGGCAGACAACTCAAAAGTTTACAATCCTATGAGCCAGACGACTGTTTGTGTGGTTTCATTGAGATTTTCATCACAGAGAAGTACTTGAGGGTTAAGACCAGCTATGAATGTATGTTACAGGTTCAGTATTCTGTTGTCAGTATCAGTTCTGTATGAGCCTGAGGATACTGACACATTACTTTCTCTGCTCGGTGTTTTAAAGTAAAATCCCAAATATACAATGTGCACTTGTCCACATATACACGGAATACATCCAAGCTAAAAAAAAATCAAACGCCATTAATAGCCGAGGTAAGTACAGATTAAAGCTGGGGGAAGTCTCTGACTCTGTGTAGTTCCTTGCCAAAGCCAAAGAGCGCACACACGCAACTCAGCAGTGAGCCTGTGCTGCAAGGGATGGCTGAACATTACGCACTACGTCCTCACTGAGGCGGACACGTCTGGGGAGGTAACCTGTCTGGTTTTGGATCCAGGGACGACATATCTACAGGAGCCTGGCTGAATTTGTGGGACAGAATGCTGAGTCCTGAGCTGACACTGCCGCCGTGTTGTGTCGTGGCTGTACAGTAAACGAGAGCGTGACGGGTTAATCTGTTGTGCCGGGAATAATGTCTGGAAGTGCTGAGTCCGGGTGCAGATCTTCTGACTGGGAAAGTTGTTTGTCGGTTGTTTTGATCTGAGAAAAGATGCATCTGTTTCGCAGTCACAATTACCGAGTGTTCCCGGATCGCTACTCAGTGGAATCACCGACCATACGAGGCATCAGCTGGGTATGCTGCTTTAATGTTTAGCCTACTCCGGAGAAAAAACTGCAGAGTAGATCGTGGAACATGAACAGGAATTAGTATAGTGTAGGGTGTCACACAAATATGATAAGGAGATGAGATAAGAGTGAGGATAATACTCCAGTATAAAATAGCAGTAGCTAACACAGTGTAGAAGTATAAATGTTCTGCATTCAAATCTTACTTAAGTAAAACAAGTATTAGAGTAAAACAGAGTAAAATATACTAATATATACCAAAATAATTTCAGAATAATATATTGTATCACTGGATTATAATTAGTGATGCATTGATGTGTAATGCTGCAGTTGGTAAATAGGGAACTAATTTCAGTTTATTTATGTGCTGCCTGGTGGCTTAAATAATAATAATATAGCATAATGTATTATTTGATTTATAGTGCATTTAAATAATCTTAATGTGCAAAGTAACAATAACTAATGTTGTTAAATAAATGTAGTTGAGTATGACATTGGCTTCCAAAATGTAGTGGAGCAGAAAGTAGCACAAAATAGAAATACTCAAGTAAAGGAGATGTACCTCAAAATTGTATCTAAGTACAGTACTTAAATACTTAATTACTTTCCACCATTGATTTTGATCATCATTTTCTTCATCATCATGTACCCCATTACCACCGCAAGTAACAAGAAGATACCTTTTTTTGTTTGTAAATGTCTTGAATTAGTCTGAAATCCCTGCTGGAGAAGTTGGTAGCTTCTGAAAAGCTAGTATAATCATGCTTTGTTGTGCAAATTGGCATCTTGTGAATGTCTGACACACAGTGGTTTAATAGCCATAAAAGCCCCAGATTTTGTTAAAGTGACAACCAGCCTCCAGCATATGGTAGAATTGTATTTAAAACTGTTTGAAAAAAAGAAACTCAGCAAAAAGTCTGAGTTGCAGGAGAGGTGGAGAAAGCAAGAGGAACACTGTTTGTCAGAGAGCAGGTGAAGACAGTGGGGTTTATTTCACCCCCTCTCAACTCCACTTTGACACGGTTCGGGTCCCCAAAACCACACGTTACAGATATTTCAAGATCACCTCCTGTAAACCAAAGCAGATTTCTTTATTGTTTTAGCAGCTCGGGTGTGGGGACACAAGAAGGTAACAAAGCATTTTTTTTAAATCAAACTCAGATTATAAATACTGTATTGTTTATTGTTCACCTTCACCACAACACACACACACACACACACACACACACACACACACACACACACACACACACACACACACACACACTCAGTTTACAAAAGAGCTTGTAGAAGAATGGGAGGTTTTTCTTTCCAGGTCACAGGAAGACACAGAACAGTGGTGAGGCTCATAAGTTCTAAAATGACTTGCCTTTTAAGCATCAATAGGTCAAAGACAACTGTAAATTTCTACACACTGTATTTTGAACTTCCTGCGCTTACCGTTACAAGCTTATATCAATGTCACATTTTACATAACAGCAACTCATAAGGTACAGTACACAGTAAATAAGTAACAATTATGTTTTGGATCTTTTGGCATGTCAGTGTGACACCTGAGCTTAATAATCGCTCAACGTAACATGCTGCACATATTCTCAAATGTCACAGGAGTAGTTAAACCTGTTTTCACTGCACCAAGGGAGTTTGTGTTTATTCAGGCTATCTTACACATAATAAATTACACAAGAGCACTTCCAGAGAGGTGTCCTCGCCAGGCCAATAACAAGATTTACACAAAAGTGTAAAGTTTGAGTTGACAGAATGTTAAAGCACCCTAATCATGAAATTATTAAATGCATTGACTTGACATTATACACGTGATTATCTTTTCTTTGGGCGCATTGAATCTACTATTCTGGCACAAAAGTAGTGGGATCTGCCTCAATAATATGATTAATTTCATAACTGTTCATTTATGTTTGATATCATCAGTGAGCACAACTGAACACTGAGCACAGAGGCATTTGCTAATCCCTTCTCTGAGCACATGCAGGCGCATACCTTTAACACGGGCAAAAACCAAGCTCATGTTGCTGTCATCATTAGAAGATGCCAGGGCATCGACTCACTGTCCTTGTTGCACTTGCATACCAGTGCTGAGACATTGAGACAAAATAGAACAAACCGCAGAAGAAACGTTTTTAATTATGTCTACCTGACTACAGACCTGGAAGGACTCAGGGGGCACATGTGTCATTTTGGTTTGGTCATAGCTGATGAACTATGTCTATATATGTGGTTAAATTCAGTCAAAAAATAAGTATTTTATATGAGTGAGTTAAAAACAATTGGCATTGCACCATTCAAGCTATCATGTGACATGGCTGGCTGCACTGCAGACCAGACAAAGCATGTCACAAAGTCTGTCTGCAGACAGACTGGAGACACTTAAAAGATGTATGTCAGTGATGTTAGGTCGATAAGCTTCCTGATCAATACAGACAGTTACTGTGTGAGTCTGATTACTTTGCATATTTGAAATTTTTCTTCAAGCTGTTCATACAATGCACAAAGAAAAAAATGCGCATATTATAAACATGTGCCCATATCCCATTTACTAAATATTTTGTTCTTGCAACAAGAGCAACCCAATGCTGAGGCTAAATGAAATGTGGTGCCCATAAATCAGTTTTTCTTCATTTTGTGAGGGTTCAGACAAAGCACTACATACCAACAAGCTACCAGATCTGGAGAGAAATATTTGATCTTGAGAACGTCCTTGAAAAAGGCCTTCATACATCTCTGAATTAAATTCACTGAAAGCAGTTGCCTTTGGAATACAGGTCGACAACTGTAGCTACAAAGGGATCATAAAAACATCAAAACCAATCCAAAAAGAGGAAATACAGCATAGGCCGAAGTACAGACATGGGACTGTTAAATATTTGTACATTGCAACAGTTTTAGTTTAGGGCTGATCAGACTATGAAGGAAGGGAGTCTCTAGAAAAAATATTCAACTTAACATATGAATCTGTGGCAACTGCTGCATTGCATTTAATCTTTGAATGGTTAGGATTTTTAAAAGCCTTTTCATTTGATAAGATGGTCTGTAGTTAAAAGCAACCTTTTCACTTAACAAAACGCGTGGCAGCAGGCTATGTACTTTCCTTTGCTGATGTCTGTGCACTCTTTCCTCCCACCTCATTCCACACACTTTACACCCACCCACATCACACTGGAGACAATGGTAACACAGCGCAGGTTGAGATAATGTATTTGTGTTGACCTTCATCCCAATGAAAAGAAAGAAATTTTTCTTTCTACCGGGACTGTCCATCTTGGTTATTTATGTTTATTTGGTGCAACCACAACGAGATTATCATCAATGAGAACTCCAGCATGTCGTTTCAAAATTATCTGCTTTATTTCAGAAGCTTTAGCTATGCAGAGTGGTAGTAACATCTCTCTTTCATTTTCTCTTAGACCCCGCTGCCAGAGGCCCTGAATTCAAAGGACACTATGAAGCAGGTGTGTATGCCAGAGAGGGTGATCTATGCCTTTGTACTTCACCTCCCCACAGCCAAGAATAATCCAATGTTCTCACTAGTGTTTTTAAACTCATTCTGAACATAAGGAGAAACACTGGCCTCCTGAAGCATGTCTTCAGGAGGTTAGCCAAATATGCTTGAGCAAATATGGATTTTCTCCTCCACCATTATTGAAAACTGACATTTATAATAAATATGGTTGGATTTTCTTTGAGCTGTTGTCATAAGAGATAGTTATTATTTAGCATCTTATAGTAAGTCTGTTGATATCCTTTGTCATTTTCTTATTCAAGACCTCCATAGCAATTTCATAATCAGGTTTGTAAGCACATAGCAGGCTTCTCAAGCTGTATTTGTCACTCTGCTAATTAGCTGACCACAGATTTGACACTCTGGTTGGTATAGCTCTTGAATGCGAGTCTTTAAACTATCACCTGCCTGGATTTTTTCTCTCTCTTTTGGTGGCTTTAAGCTGTACTGACCTCTGCCATCATCCAGAGTTGCATTTCCTTGCATCCTTTCAAACTGCTGAACATGTTCTTTTGTTGTTATAATGTCCTGCATTACTACTCAAGCGAGTCTTAAAAAACACATTCCTAGTGGGGACGGCAGTCACAAGGAGTCTAAAGGGCACTTCAGGGCCCTCAGTTAATTGACCCTCCCTACCCTCCCGAGCCCTACCTCACCCAGCCCTACCTCACCCAGCCCAGGCCCCTCACACTGCTTCATCTCAGCTTCTTCAACAACATACCAATGACAGAACTTTTAAAACACTGATAACAAGGTGTAAACTGTTGATTCAGTGGACTCCCTCAGACAGAAGAATTAGATATTTTTTAACACCAAAAGTTATCAATGTCTGTGCATTTTCTTTTGTGCTGGAGAGAAAAGATAGAGATTATAGAGAAATTGTGTCTGCAGGAGGCAGGTGTTGCTAACCTCTTAGAGTTTTGTTTGGTTGCTTAGCAAAATGTTGGCTCCAGATTCTACAAGTCAGTAATGAGCATCATTCGTTCTGATAGCACTGTACAAGACACACATACTTTTCACTTTCTTGTGGCTGAGATGGTTCTATTATGCAGGCAAATGATTTTATTAATTGGATACATAGGTTGTGCACAATGTGTGTTCTTTAGGCAACTTTCCCATGCTCATCTAGTGTAGGTCAGAGTTATAAGTTCACTGATACAACTTGAAAGATCTAAAAACTGGTGCCAAATGACCAAATCAAAGGTCTGGAAAAACATTTTACCCATAGCCGTCATGTATTGCAGGATGGAAATGTTAGCTTCAGAATTGTGATCTTATTTTTTACACTCAAAAATGAGCAGAGAAATCAAGTATCTGCAGTCTACAGAGCTGCATTAAACTCCTCACACAGCATTGATAGCTTGTAGCTGCGTCTCCCACAACACAGCCCACCAAGGTCACAGAGAGTGTGAAACAGAGAAATGTCTTTCCTACAGAGAAGACACATAGTGGATAACTGTACTCATAATCATTCCACCCCACAAGACAAATGCATTAAACCTAACCACATGCTACACACTTCAAAAGCCAATAATGAAACCTTTCAGCTAGGACCAGATTGAAGTTAAAGAAATGCTACAATACACAGAATATATAGTATATATAGTGTGATTGTGTTGTAATAAAAACAATTACAACCTTCTTCCAGTCAAATGATGTTGTTCACTTCTATGTGATATTAAGCATATGCCCTGCTGAAGAGTGTTTGAGTAACCTTTACAGGCTGTAGAGCAGCTGTTCTGTAGCTAGCCCTGCAAAAAAGTGGGTGTAGTAATTTAGAACCATAGGTAAAGATCATGTAAGTTTAAGAGTTTAAGTGTAAATCAATATGAAGTTTATTATTCTACTTTACATTAGCAGTCTTAAGGCAGTTTTTAAATATAATGACCTCAACAGCACAATGGACCTCGGTCATAAAATGGGTTATGACTGTCTGTCCAAACCTCACAGATGGCCCATACATCAGTATTGATCGCCGCACACTGGCTGCCTGAATGTGAATTGTACTTGGGAAAGGTTTTTGCTCTGTTATTTGAGACCCTAATTTGGAACAATTACCTATGAGTTATAGTTTGTAGATAACATGTTTAGGTGCCCTACATATAGACAATAACTAACAGAGAGGTCCATCACAGACAGTCAGCACTGGAATGAATTACATAAAAATGTTTTTGTTTTCTGCATGTTTATATGAAAGCAGCGAGGGCTAGGACCCCTTCATCAAATATGGCTTTTGGTATTGTTTTTATAAGGACTGGGTTAGGTAATGGAAAATTGCCCAATCAAGAAAATAAGTTTTGGAGCTGACATGCCTGAGAATGCAACTGTGAGAGTCCCATGGGAAAATGGGCCCCTGGGAATACTGGTGACCTCTAGACGACATAACTCCAGTGAGTGGGACACAGCAGACGCCTTGGGGCACATTTACTTTGTTGATGTCAAGTCTGGGAACAGGCTGATGTGGGCATGATAGGTTGAAGTGTGTACTGCACAGTGTTACCCACAGTAGTCCGTTATAGTTGTACATTATAATTAGCAGTCCTGTGTGAACGTGGATCTAACAAGCATGTGCCATGGCCCCCAGTCCAGGTGAAAGAGCAAAGGGGATGTTGGCGTCATCGAGGCATGGGGTCAGTAGATCGGTCAAAGGTCACCAGGCGTTTTTGAGCAGCAGAAGACTTGAGGAGGCAAAGGGTGCTGGTAGTTTCTGAAACTGGCCTCCTTACATCATCACTCCACTTAAGGAGAAAATTGATATAGGAAATGGCTGTTAGGTTCTGTGGGCTTCAAGACCACCATCTTGGGCAAATACGGTGCCTTGATTAAAATCCAAAGAACAAACAGGCAACCTTGTGTGTCACTTGTGGAATCACAAGACTGAGTGAGAGGGGAAGTCTAACAGGGAGGAGCTAAATGAAAAACTATACTTTTTTCACTCATTAAGACAATCAATATTGTTGGGTGGTGGTTTGATCCGATTTGTTTTTGAAAAACAAGCAAAGCGTGAAACGGCCTGAAATAGGACAGCCGCATTACAGCCACAAACAAAGCACATTGGTGTTACATAAGCCTTGCTTCTGCATCAGTGGCTGACAGGTTTTGCACCCCTGTCTGCAGTCGTTTTGGATTTTACACCTGAGCCGAGTGAGTTGTGTGTATGTGTGTCTGCGGGTGGGACTGAGGGGGAAAAGAATCGAGGGAGGTTAAAAGGAAATACATTGAGGGTGGTCGGAAAGTGAAAGTTTGTTGTCGTTGCCACAGAGTGAGTTGTAGAGACTGGGAACTGAGTGAGGTGTGGGAGAGTTTGAAATAGCAATTTTTTAACACATTCTCACCTCCACACCACATTACGCTCTAACGCCCACAGAAATCTCCACACACGCTATTGACGTATGTGCCATCACACAAAATCTCCATGCTGAGGTGAAATGCAAAGAAACTTGTCTCCTTGTCTTTCATACACACACACACACTCTCTCTTTTGCTAACTTAGCTGATGCCAACACACAAATTGGCTGTTTCAGTTAACAAGACCACCTGTGTTACATATCCTCCTCCTTTGTTTACATAGCTCTCTGTCACTCTTTCTCACACTGTCTCATCATAAAATCGTACATCGTAAAAGGAACTCACACAACTCACATTAATGTCTATGAAAGAATGAATAGTTTATCTGCTTAATCTTCTTTCATGTTTATGAAGTTTCTTTCAGATCGTGTTGTAAAGGCAGCAAGATCAGTGTATAGTGTTATAATCGAGAGGAACCCAGGTCTGATCCGAGATAGAAAGTATCACCTCAAAACATACAGGTACCCACACTGGAGATTTAAAATGTGACAATCTCTGCAAATTACATGCAAATTCACATGTTAAATTTCTCTCACAGACAATGCTGCTCTGGTAAGGAACTTGTTGATTGGCTGATGAAACAAAATGAATGCCTGCAATCAAGAAGCCAGGCAGTTGGGATGTGGCAGGTCTTGGTGGATGAAGGAATCCTTCTTCATGGTAAGAGCTAAAGAGCTGAATTTCGCAGAAAAATTAAGGACACATTAACATAATATTTGTCAGCGAGCTCACGCCTCGGCACGGACGAAGTATGTGGAATAATTCCACAGAAACTCCTGTCATGTTCTTGTATTTCTTAATATATTCTGATAATAATGTCTCTGCACTCAAGAATTTTCCAGAAGTGCTTGAGTAGCTCAATATCTGGTGACTGAGCCTGCCGGGGCATATGTTTTACAATGTGTGCTCACTCCATCAAGTGTTCACTTACCGCTTATGCTGTCTGGATGGGGCACTGTCTTCCCGGAAGAGACCACTCCAATCAGGATATAAATGCTTAATCATCAAATGAAGGGGCTCACTCAGAATAGATTTGCACTTATTTCCATCCGAGTTTTGTAAAGCTCTAATGACATGACATGAGAACTAAATTCTCCTTAAGGTCAGCGTTTACTCATTTATTTCCTTTTTGTTTCCTTTTTTTAAATAATGCACATTATTATGTAATCTCCATATCTCTAAAGGTCTGCACTCTTAGTTAAATTTGGGTCTCATTAATGCCCCACCCCCTTGTGTTCTGTCTCAATCAAGTAAAACATGAGTTGAACTTCCATGACAAGGACACCCAGTTCTATCGCTTCCAGGACTCTGAGTGTGGCCTGAACCACGTAACAAATGAGAAGGACTCAGAGGAAGAGCTGCAGGAGGGTCTGTCGCTCCTGTCTCAACTGGGTCCCGATGCTCTGCTCACTATGATTCTACGCAAATGGTCAGTAGGTTGAGCTTTTATATAACTATTATGCATGACAACCTGTATATGTAGTAATACCTAAATAGTAAAGTTATTTTCATATTTATCATATATGACAGTCCTGTGTCGTTCATACATCCGTTCAAAGGAATCAGTGCAGTTGGATGTTGTCATTAAGTATTTTTCAAAAAAGTCCAGCGTTGTTTGATTACACCTGTTTTCTCAACTTCCCTGTAGCCCCAGTCAGAGGAGTGCTGAGGACCTGGAAGTCATTTATGAGGAGCTGCTCCATGTCAAGGCTGCAGCTCATCTCTCCACTTCTGTAAGTCACTATCACTACCTGCTCTTGACATCAATGTCCTTAAGATTAAAGCCACCATAGGTTGATTTTTTTTTAAGTGATTGTAGCATAAATTATTTTAAAGGCAGATGTTTTTATGTGTAAAAAAGTGAGACAGTCAAGCAATTACACTGCAGTTCAGAAGCTTTACTTTGATCGTGATAGTACACCTTAAATTTAATTTGATATAACAGCTCCATTTGGATCTCTTTTCAAGGCTAGTATTATTCTTACATGAACACAATCAAACATAAAACTCTTGACCTTGAATGCTAAAAACAGGAACATTTGCCCAGTTTCCTCCTTACTATAAAAATAAAACAATGAAAACAGGAATTATCAATGCATCCCAGTCTCATTTCTTTCCTTGTTGTGCCTGTAGGTGCGTAAGGAGCTGGCAGCAGTACTGGTCTTTGAATCACATGCCAAGGCCGGAACAGTCTGTGAGTGTGACAGCTTTTCTGACGTTTGAGCTTGGGTGGTAGAGAGCCTTGCTACATACACAGAGAGGCACGACAGTTTCATTGTGTAGTTGAACCACAAGAAAGTACACTGATCTTCTGAGGTACACAAATTCTTGACATCTTGACGTGGGGCGGCTGTGGCTCAGGAGGTTAATCGGAAGGTCGGCTGTTCCACCAGTGTATGAATGTGTGTGAATGTTAGTTTCTGTTTGAGCACTTGGGCTCATTGTATGAATGTGTGTGAATGGTGAATGTGAGGTAGTGTAAAAGCACTTTGAGTGGTCGAAAAGACTAGAAAGGCGCTATACAAATACGGAGCATTTATATTTACATCCTCTTCTGCACAACAAGCATTTCAGATATATTATCTCTACCAAACCATGTATTACATCAGTAATATTCTCATATTCCTCATTGATTTATTACTTAAGTGGCAGCAATCAGGTCATCATTTGTCTTTTTTCTTTTGCTCTTTTCATCTCTCCCTTTGCCCATCTGGTCTTGAATATGAACATCGTACATAAAGCCCATTGTATGAAGGTGTGCTGTACTTGTGATCTTCATGTAATTCTGATGGTTACATAGACATGTGTATATGACCGATGTTGGAGCTGACTTTTTTTTGTGATGTAGTGTTCAGTCAAGGGGACAAAGGCACATCTTGGTATATCATCTGGAAAGGCTCTGTAAATGTGATCACGCATGGGAAGGTAATTCCATTTACTGGTTGCAAAAATAATAATTTTCATCATGAAATGCCTTGTTTCCCAGGAATTGGATGCTGCTATAATGTAATGCTGAAAGTACTGTGTGCATTCAGGGCCTGGTAACAACACTACACGAGGGTGAGGACTTTGGGCAGCTAGCTTTGCTGAATGATGCACCTCGTGCTGCCACCATCATCTTGAGAGAAGATAACTGCCATTTCCTTCGTGTTGATAAACAGGACTTTATACGCATTCTCAAGGTCTGTCTAAGTATCTAATTACTATATGTGCAGCACTGTGGCTTTTTTGTTCAACAATGTCAACAATGTAGTAAAGTGCTGTCACACATTTAAAGCCATATGTGATTGTAAAAAAGCTGCAGGTGCTGAGGTGCTCTTAAAGCTCTATCCATTATTCAGATCCACAGATACACTAAATATGTATTTGTCTGGGTCATCCATGTCTGTATTTCTTGTCCTTTAGGATGTTGAAGCTAACACAGTGCGACTTGAAGAGCATGGGAAAACTGTGCTGGTGTTGGAGAAGAGCACCGACTGGGCCGAGCAGGGAGGAGCAGGAAGCAACAGCAAGTGAGAAACTCTGAAGCACACACCTCTGTGACAATACAACAGTGACTTCACAAGTAGGTCATTAAAACACTTCACCTAGGTGTGGGCAGAAACTGTATCACGCCAAAACAGTATACAAATCTTTTTGTGAAACATGATTAATATCTTATTAATGGACTTTTATCTGACAGCCTGTAGAGAACTGGACTTCAACCCTGCCTATGACTTGTTATCAGTCTTGAAGGGTTTTTAACAAACATAAAAGTGAAGTTACATGATGTTGACCAACCAAGATATATTATGTAAAGAGCCAACAATATTACATTTTTGAACCTGATGCCATTAGGCAATGAGTCCTCAAATGTTGTTATAGAAGTTATGACGTAGCTCCAGTAAGTGCTGGAAGGCATTTTATAGTTTAACAATAAACGTGTTATCTGTAATTAACCCAACATCGCTGTCCACATATGGTATGCTACAGTCAACTCGCCAAGTGCTGTAAACACCAGTCTGCAAGACAAACTATGTAATGATTACGTCAAAAGCTTTGTTCTGGTTCTTCTTTTTTTGAGGGAGCTATCAGTTAATGTACATGCAAACCGATAATAAAGTATAAAGATTGTTCTCATAATTAAACTTTTCAGTTATTGTTGTATTTAACAGATACAGTGCCCTACATCTGTAGTTTGTGCTTAAAGCTAATTAGCAAGTATTGCTAACACACTGAACTAAGACATGTTAGCAATCAGCTCAAAGCACCTCTGTGCCTAATTGCAGTCTTAGAGCCACTAGCTTGGCTGTATACTCAGTGTTGTTCCCTGGGCAGATGTTGCACAGTCACCCTTAAAAGGAATGCAAATCAGTACTATACAAGCATGCAGAACAATTATAATAAAAGTAATATTATACTGCATTATCAGGCACTAAGTAAAACACACACAATGAAGCACAATGCATGCATGTAGAGTAATAAAAAATTAAATGTTAATGTTTGTCTCTTCTGTTGTGCTCTGTGCAGGTACACTGTTATGTCAGGAACACCTGAGAAAATCCTGGAACACCTACTGGAAACAATAAAGTTGGATTCTAACGGAAATGACGCCATAGGTGGAGCCTGCAGGCATCTTCTTACCTTTTCCCTTGGGTTGTTGAGTGATTCAAGATGATCAGATTTAGTTAGCTAGTCAGTTAACTCTGTGTTGTTGTGATGTTTGTCTCCCTGCAGATCCATGTGTGAGCGACTTTCTGCTCACCCATAAAGTCTTCATGCCCTCCAGCCAGCTGTGTACCGCACTACAGCACCAATATCCTGTTGTGGTCAATAATAATACACAGTGATGGTGATGCTGATGATAAGGATGTGTATTATTATTTATTAAGTAATGTGTACTACCACTGCCTCTGCTGCTTATGTTTATTATCAAGGTTCAAGAATCAAAGAAATATATTTACCATTAAACAACACAAGGCTGTACAATGAAATAAAAGTTTGTAGTCCCTTCATGTTACACATTGAACATAACAGATAATTCCATTCCTATTAAAATAGGGTAACATATAAAATAAATAAAACAATAGACAGTTTGTATTTGTATACATATATACATACACATATATACCCAGGAAATAATTCTGCAGTGCATTTTTATGATGATGATGCAGTCTAAACAAACATTTAATTGCCATAACTAGTGCATTCTGCTGAAACACAATGTCTCATAATTGTTTCAGTGTCTTTGTTTGTAAAGCTGTTTATATTATACCCCTTAACCGTCATTGCACCTACCAGGCAGAGCTCTCTGAGGGTTCAGATCAGGAGAAGGCTGCTTACATTATCAACACCAAGCAGAAGGTAGTAAAGCTGATTGGCCAGTGGGTGGCGCTGTTTGGCCTACTGCTGAAAGAAGATCCTATTGCTTCGGACTTTCTGGAGGTGGGAAAGCAGGCTCTCTTTAATTACATGCTTATGTCACAATGTCCCTCAGTTGGAATTTTTCCGAACCATTTTAAGAATATCGATTTTGTTTATGAGGGGGGTCAGTAATTATGTCCCTGCTTTTTCAATTTCCAGACAATGAAGAAGGAGGTGGCCAGTGATTTTCGTCTGTCCAGCATGCTGAAAGAACAATTTAGGGAAAGGAGGCGAACAAAAGTGTAAATTTTTATTTTATTTTATCTTATAACATCTGCAATTTTTGCAACATTTCTAAAGTCATAAATATTGCATCATGCTAACGCTGTTTTTCTCTACCTTAACAGATTGGAGAATGGATTTCAGTCACTGAGCAGGGTAAGCATCTTCACACATATTAAGTGTTTGCAGTTGGCAGCTGCGCGCATAATATTAATATCAGAGATGCATTTAATGAGAAAACCGTTTGAATGTCAGGTTACTGTAATTTGCCAGTTTAATGTCACTGACATGTTGTGTCACTCTGATGCTATCTACAGAACCAACTATTTGACTGGTTTTCAAACTGTGAGGAGGCAGTGGGGAGGTTACAACCAATCAGAGCACAAGATAAAGGTAAGTAAGTGAAACTTAACTTGTTTTGATCTATATCACTACACTACATTGCAACATGGAACTGGATGAGCTCATCTGTCTGGGCGTTATTTATGAGTAAGACATCTCACCACACCTCATTACTCATGTCATCAATCAACATATCTTGGCATGTTGGCTTCTCATCTCATCTCTCCTGTCCCATCTCGGTGCAGTGCTTTATGAGATCTACAGGCCAGACAACAAACCTCTCACTCTGATGCTCCCAGTGAACACATCTGTACAGGATGTGATGTCGGCAATAGTCAAACCTGGAGGAGATCACATCTTGGTCAAAATTAACTCCACAGGAGGTGGGACTTTTTTTTTAAATGTGTATTTTTCTCTTATATATCCTGTTCCTGTAAAATAAATTGGATAAAGCCTTCAGAGTCGCATTTTAATGTGGTTTCCAATCAAGTTGGAGTCATGTTCATTGGTTTTGCTATCGTTCTTTGTCAGTTCATTATGCTGAAAATGTGTTTTTGATCAATTAAATGCACACAGAGAGAGCTCAGATAAAGCTGGATGCTACTGCAGTTTACACAGCACTGGGACTCAACGAGAGACTGTTCATCTGCACAAGCAGCGAAGTGGAACAACTGGTGAGAAATAGGTGCCCTCCATACCAACATTTTGCTAAATTAAAGAAAAAACATCTTTTCATTATGTTCATTATTTATCATGGTGCATGCAGTTGAGTTTGACATGGTGGTGTGGTTCAAAGCAATTTACCTGCACGGAAAGCCATCAAAGCTCCCCGCTCAAACACACTCACACACACACACACAATTTTCTATCTGTTAATTTTATTTCTCCTAGATTCCCCTGAAGGAGCAGCAGGGTCCAGAGCGAGGAACAACTGACATCCTTGAACAGATGGGCTCTAAAGACATTGCCAGTGAACTTGCCAATTATGACTGGGAAATGTTCACTGCCATGCATGAGGTAACTCTTCAGATCCAACAGATTTTACATGTCCACAGCATATAAAGTAACTGATACAGAACAAAGAAAATTGCTTATTTACACTTCAAATGCCTCATCGGGGTGAAGCTCCAGTATTCTGTTGTGTGAGTAAATCCACTGCTGGAACTTGCATTCAGATATTTCCTCATTTCAACAAAGGACTAGGAATCTCTTTGGGTCACTCCTTGGCTCTTTTCATCTGACAGTAGCAGTTTTCTTATCAGATCAGCTGGTCCTCCAGTACAACACTTCCTGCATGCTTCACATGTTTCTGAAGAAAGTCACAATGATTAGGTCACCTGTAAAAATTGGTATGCAGATTCCTTTTTTCACAGTGTGAGTAATTAATGCCAGTGCTTGTGACTTATTGTTCCTGTCTCTCCAGGTGGAGCTTGTGTACTATGTATTCGGCCGTCATAAATTCCCAGGTGCCATGACAGCTAACCTAGAGCGGTTTGTACGGCGCTTCAATGAGGTGCAGTACTGGGTGGTGACTGAACTGTGCCTCTGTGAAGACCTGGTGAAACGAGCCATTCTGCTCAAGAAGTTCATAAAGATTGCTGCAGTGTAAGAGTCAGTTACATAAAACTATAGCCATGTTTTGATGGCAGTGTAGGGCAGTCTCTCCACCACGTTGGTTCACACCGAACTAGCTCTACATCTATTGGTTGGATTGCCATGACATTTTGTACAAACCAGAGGATGAAGCCTACTGACCTCAGTGATCCCTTGACTTTTCATCTAGTGCCATCAGCAGGTCAAAGTCTTCACTTAAAAATATTAATATCTCCAGTGGATTTGTACAAAATTTTGTACAGACATTCATAGTTCCCAGAGGACAACCATTAATGACTTTAGTGACCCTGTAACTTTTTCTCTAGTACCACCATCTGGTCAAAGCTGTAATTCGTCCAACACTTCTGCTTAGCTTCTAGCTTCTGACCAAATACCTTGAAAATGAGTTACCACACATTCCCATCAGCCTCAGTGTATTTTGTGTTAAGCTCTAATTAGTAAATGTAAGCATGCTAACACTCCAAACGTTATACCTGCTTAATCAGCATGTTAGCATTGTTACTGTGACCATGTTAGCATGCTGAGGTTAGCATTTAGCTCAAAGCACCACTGATTAAAGTTTAGCCTCACAGAGCCACTAGCGTGGCTGTTGACTCATAGTCTTGTGTACGTGTAATATTTTTAAAAACCTGCAAAAATCAAAAAACACTTCAAGAACAGAATTTTGTCAGTCTGAAACCTATGTATCCTCTCTGTTACAGATTAAAGGAGCAGAAGAATCTCAATTCATTCTTCGCTGTGATGTTCGGTTTGAGCAACAGTGCAGTACACAGGCTTTACAAGACCTGGGAGGTGAGAAACCCCTAAATGCAACATTCAGGATGATAATAAATGTTGCGTAATTTACTAAACAATAACTTTGGTAATGACTCATGCAATAATTTGCTTGGTATTGTCTATTGCAGAGAATCCCCAGCAAGACAAAAAGAATTTACTGTGCTTATGAGAGGTTGATGGTAAGTTTCACTTTGTGCTCTCGTTCAATACCTTTCATAAATGTCCCGAAACTCTCAATGTACTGTTATGTCTATAGTTTACCTACTTAACATTCATAGGCAGCTTATTATCTCCTGTTAATTTTAACATAAAGTGTTCTCTGTATATTTTCTGCTCCTGTTAGGATCCCTCACGCAACCACAGGGCCTACAGACTGGCTGTGGCCAAACTCAGTCCTCCCTACATCCCCTTCATGCCTCTGCTGCTCAAAGGTAACAGATACTAGCATTATCTTTATGGGATTAGATGTGAATGTCATGTAAATTTTATCACTGATCACCGACATGTTCTCTTTTCCTCTATATGGCTAGACATGACATTCATCAATGAGGGAAATCCAAACTATGTAGACAAATTGGTCAATTTTGAGAAAATGGTAAGACAGAAAATGTTTTTGTAACGTAGCTTGGCTCGATTATTCCCCTCACAAATATCATCCTCTGTCTGAGACTGACTTAAAATGTTTCCTTTCCCTCCGATTCTCATAGCGCATGATAGCCAAGACAGTGAAAATTGTACGAGGATGCAGAAGCCAACCTTATGGTGAGTGATCCAGTTGAGCTTGTCATACAACTAGTAGACTCTGTAGACAACTATATGCATTCGGGAATGGGCAATAGATAATGTTGGGTTATGGCTATGAATAGGTTAGATAGATAGGATGTATCAGATATGTTAACTTCTATTTCTCTTCTGCAGTGCCGTCATCTCCTCAGAGGGGCCTGGCAGATCGGATGTTTCTGGAAGGGCCTGCTACTCGCATATCTACATGTAAGCTACATGTAATCTACCATATCGTTCACTTGTACTCAGTTGTAATTCCTGTAAGCTAAAGGGTTTCTTTTCACATTAGTCCTTTTCAAATTCACATTTTGGCTTAAAATAACAGGGAAGCTTTACCAGTGTAAACACTCATATTCATTTACTGAGTCAAAAATGATTTCTTCTGCTCATCCAGACTCAGACAATGCCCTTCCTCTGCGAAGTCCCAGCAACATCCGACACTACATTCAAAACCTGAAGGTGATTGACAACCAGCGCAAACTTACACAGCTATCAAGAACAATAGAATGCTAGGACATCAACTTGCAAATGTACAAAGACTGTAAAGTTGTAGCACAAATCTGAACCAGAGAACATATTGTACCTGGATGAACAAAACTTCCACACTCGTCTAAACAAGATGGATCTCTGGAGGTGTTGAGTCCTGTGGATATTCACTCGAATTCAAGGAGCTTGGACATTCATGGAAAAACTTTCTGCACAGCATCATGAGTGAAAATGTGCTGAACCTCTAATGCTGAACCAGAGAATCCAGTTCTGTGTCCCTGGGAATTATGGGACACTTTTTATACAAAAAGCCTTATAGCACACCAGTGTATACATCTTGGTGTATTTGCCATAGTGGAAACTGATGCCCTCACAATGACAATGTTACAACATGTACAGTTAAGCAAATTTTGCCTCTCTTTGGTGTCAAAATTAATTTATGTGACATATAATAAACTGCTTGTGGAATAATGACTCTCATGATCACACAAGAGTCATAGGAACACATACCACAGATAATGTTTGCCATATTTTATCACTTGGGGTCAGTTTTTTGTGCACTAATATTTTCACATCAAAACTAATATATTGTATCAGATCCTTTTCTGGCAGTAAGGCCACTTTCATACAATGTTGTTTTTCTAAATAAATTATTTTCTCAGTTGTGTGTATTCAATGAAACCACAAGCATTTGTAAAAAGGGAAATATTTTATTTAAAGTACAAACCTTAACAGGTAAAACTTGATCTCCAAAGACCCCCCCGTCTATCCCACTGACAAAAATGTTCTCCCCAATATGGGGTGAGAAAAATTCACAACAAATCAGTTATCATTTGAATTCAAAAATACTCTCCTTGTCATAAATATGTACAACTTCTTTTTGGAAGTCCTGGAGAGTGAAAAATGGGCTAAGACGTTAAAAAAAAAAAAAAAAAAACATTTAACATGTAAGTAAAAACCCAGTGCCTTCTCCGGTTGTAACCATGGATGAAGATGTAATCCCCTGTCATTATAAATAATGGTTTGACATGTTCAGTAAAGAATTTTCATACCAGCAATATTAAAAGACATTTTAAATCAATTACCAAAAGGGGATTTTATGGAGAATCTGACTAATAATAAATCACTATTCAATAAGAGGGGGCATATAAAAAGAGTGTGATGAGGCAAACAAATGTATAACATGTGGTTAGTATAGTGTTGGTGTTTGGACAGGTGTGCAACAGCACAGCACATAAATTATCAAACTGTGTCAACATACCCAAGTTCAACTCAAATATGTTCTTTGTGTTCCTGTGTCAGTCTGTGGTATAAAACTCAGCAAGATCAGAAAAGTGGTCCAGCAATAAAGTGGTGAATATGTATGAAGTGGAAAAGTCCTTTTAAAAAAAAACAAAAAAAAAACAGTTTCACACTTGAAGTATGCTTAGGGAGAAAGCAAGTGAAAATAAAAACTCAGAACCTTATAAAGGATTTAGTCTATGTGCGTATCACATACTCTGACAGAAGAAGTTCTGGTTTATGGCAATTCAGGCACAAATAAAACATAAAACAAAAGAAAGCAATGTAATATTAATAAGAGTGAATATAAATATTGCACTTCCAAACAACATTTAGTTCCCAGTGCCTGTTATTATCCCTTTGGTCGAGGTACAAGACATCCTGTAGGACGCTAACATCTGGACGGTAGTCTTACAGTCTTTTTTTTTTCCATTTCCACTGAGGTTGTAAGTATTTTAATTGCTGCCTTGCGGTCTTCCTGAATAGGTTCCTGACTGTATTTATGCTACCGAGACTAATAAGAATGCAGAATGGCTTAACCTCAATGATCTCAAGCTACAGAGGTGATAGGGATAAGCAGGACTAAGCAGTGGGAAAGGTAATAAATTCATACACAAAACAAACATTCATAAATACACCATTCACACAATTGCATGTATTCATGAAGTCACACATATATACATGCAAGCACACACAGCCGTAACTCTAATCCACAGACATTAAGTATTTACATTTAAGGCACATAAAATCTATGTACAAATAAAAGAAACCAACACAAAGTATTTTAATGTTCAGTCCCTGTAGCCTTTTGGTAGTGGGATGGCTTGAGCCACTTTTCTTTCTAAACATGGGCAACTTTTACTCAAAGACAATCAAAAATACAGTATCTCACAGTAACACACACTGTAAGCTGAAAATGGATCCTTCACACTCAAAGAGTGATGATCCCACCTGCTCCCAGACTAAAACTCTCTGTCAAGGCTACAACATTGCTGATTGTCCCGTCTTTGGTTCAAGGCATCATTGGGCCATGGCCACTGACTTCTTCTCTTTAGGAGAACACCACACCGATTCAAGCCTAATCTGAGGTTTCACAGGTCTGTGGTGGTTCCAGTCCCATCCCAGTCGACTATGCAACAAAGACGATGCCAGCATTGGTAACTCTGAACATGAACAAACAGGATTTAAACAAAGCGATCAGTAGGAGTCAAAATCAACTCAAAGGAAGGTCAGTCAGTCAGTCTTTGGTGTCTTTGGAATTATATCAGTAGATTTCCTTTGAGTGCTAAAACAACTCAAGCCAGCACTGTCCACCAACCTGAGGCAGAGAGAGATCCTTTTCATGAACAGTTGAGAAACATCCATGCATTTTCTATGTCCGCTTATCCCATTCAGGATTGCGGGGTGCTGGAGCCCAGCATCTCAGCATGCATTAGGCAAGAATCAAGGGAACACTTCAGACAGGTCAGGGTTTAAATTTAAATTATGTAAAATTTAAAATGTTGTGATAAAAGCTAAGCTATTCAATAGATTAGGTTTCAACCTTTAGACAGATAATATTGCCTTTGCTATAGCCAGTTTATGTTTTCACCTGAAACCCGTTTACCAATCTTTTGTCAATAAGAATGTGTTAAGGAAACACCAGAAGACTACTTCCAGGCCTCAGTAGGCAGCGTAAGTCACAGCTACTGACTGCCACAAGCTACATGTGGCCATATTCTGTCAGAGGCAGTGAGCACAAGAGATCATTAGCACCAAAAACAGGCAGTTAAAGGGGTAATACAGAACTCTCCATCAAAAGAATCAACAAAAGGAAACCCGACAGACATCTCACTGCATCTACAGGCTAACGGTAGCCTGCACTTCTTTTCTAGTCACTTTCGTGTTGTTCAGTCTCATGTTAGTTGAGGCATTGAGGAAAAAAAGTTCTATTTGGTAACAATCCCAACCCGCCAACAAACAAGACATAAATTAAAACAGAAAAAAAAAAACATTCATTTGGCTTGGAGATCTTTGGATTTTTGTCTTCCTCTTGTGCAGCACAGCGGAGTTCCAGTGGTCTTTCTTTTCTCTTCAGCTGCTTTCTGATCCACTCTTCATGTTCCATTGTGTTTCTCCGTTGCAATCATATGGCCAGGTACTGTGGTTCTGGTAGCTCCGGTTGTCATCTAGGCCTCAGAGGCAGCCTGTGGTTTGAGATGTGCTTTCTCCATGGCAGTGCCGTAAGGTAGCGATCGCTTGAAGAAGCCGAACTACAAGAAAACATTTTTTTAAAAGTAGAAATGAGCACAGTTTAGTTACGATTTCATTCATCTTTCAGTACTCTTCAGTAATCTGAGTGTCACAGCAGCACTGACCTTGTATAAGACGTAGATTAGTAGAGCCAGAAGCAGTAAACCAGCCAGAATCGCCAAGATGATGATCCACAGAGGAACTGAGTTCTCGATATCTGGCTTGTTCCACATCACTGGGGTCACCACCTGATGACAAAACCAGTTTGTAAGTTTAACTCTACAAAGACAATTAAGATGAAACCTTTTTATTAAAGTAGACCCTCTGGAATGAATTGACTAATGAATTAAATACCTTTTTGTGTCCACTGGGAAAATGTTTGGGTAGGATGGCATAGGGCATCTTCTCCACGCTGTATCTGGCAAGGCACTCCAGTACATATTGCTTGTATGCTCTCTGAAGAAAGGTATAAAGCAAGTTACAAAATCAGATTCAAAATGCATGCTATGCACCAGTAATACACTAGGTAGCGACAGAGACCGTGTGCCTCTTCCAAAGAGAATCCATTCAGCATTCCTATCCTGTGAGAAGTTGTGAAACCAGATAATGAATTTTCAATGCATTCACACATGTGCGTTCTGTTACAGCATGCGGGAGCTAGTAAATAGTCTGTGTGTAGCTTAGACATGGCAGGCAGACGAAAAAAAAGGTTAACTCATAGAAACAGCATTCTACACAACCAGTGTGCTATCTAGATTCTTAGCAACTGTTGTCCCATTTGTTGAGGCAAATGTGTGAGACATACTGACAGTCTTGAGAACTGATCCAAAACCAATGCTGATGCCTAGTCAACACAAACAAATATGTGAGACTGATTACTGCAGCTATGCACCTTTGCCAGCTGCACATTTGAGGTTTTAACTTCTTACTTCCTGCCAAGGCTTGACATAAGAAAACACAGAGGGGCCTATGGGAAGAGACTAATCTACAGTGCACAGCGTTTTCCTCTGCACTGCCTTTGTCATCTGGTATGAAGTCATGTTCATGCACAATACATGTCTAGTGAGTTTGTAAGGCAAGGGTCATCTCCAACAAACCTCAATGAAGGTCTCGGCCCAGATGCGGGATCGCACTTTGAGGATAGCAGTAGTCCCCTTCTCCAGCAGACCCACGTTGCACAGGAGTTTCCAGCACTCCGCATTAGAGCAGGACTGCAGGAACAGAGCGAAAGGAGTTAAGACAATGTTAATGAAATGCTAAATAAGTTTTGTTTAAGCCATTCTTGTGCATAGATGGAATGTAATAAAAGAGATTATTCCCACAAAACTTGACCAACCAGGCCACATGACTTAAACGCAGGTGAAAGTCATACAGACAAAAGTGAACAGTGGTAGAACAGATATGGGAAGGACAAATAACCATCATGTTAGTGCTGCAGGTCCAATAAATATAACAAAGAGCCCAATGTTATGATCTCTATTCCACGCCTGCTTCAAATTAGATTGAAGGAATGTCATGAGACTGTAAAAATGCAGCATGCACCACTCTCTATAATATTGCCCAACCACTAAAACCGACCCATTTTTCGCAAGACTGTAGAATACACAATCTTAATTAGATCCCCATAATGCAGCTTGGTACATTTAACATTTTAGAACATGTACACACTGTGTTTTAGAGCTGGTGCTGTAGCTAGACCACCCCCAGACTGAGAGGTTTATGCAGGTTTCTTGCAGGAATGCATTAGTTTACTTATTACACCAAGTAGGGCAAACAGGAGAGGAGAAGAGAGTACCCGCCTTGTTCCTTCAGGCTCAGTCTTAGACAGATTTAATGAGGGTATTCAGATTGACAAGGAGCGTATCTGTCCACTTCCTCCTCGATGCCCCAGGGCACCGGGGTCACAAAGGTTTGTGGAAATGACATGAACATGGACCACTGCCAAAGATGCCACAGACCTAAGTCCCACATATCCTCCCTGGTGGGATTATGTGGTCTATCTGAATTTTGTGGGCATGGAGGCTGTTCCCACAGCTTCATAAAATGCAAGCCTCACTACACAGCTGCTGTACACACAGGGCCTGCATAGGTTGACACTTTGTAAAAAGTGCTGAAACGATTAGTCCATTCATCATTTAGTCGATCGATAAAAAATCAT